TTAGTAACTTATTTTTTTTCCCCTTATTTCGTTCGACATTTACCTATATAACGAAACAACTCCATGGTCAAAAAGGTGTTTCATTAAATAGGGGCGCCCTGAAAAGTGCAACCTGACAAACAGCTTGAAACGAAGGAAATCGCCGCGATGGCGAGTTGCCAAAAAGGCAGATGGCGCGAAGCGATGGCACGGTTGTTGAAATAAGGCCAATGTCTGTCGCTTCGACTCGAAATTTGTTGGTACTAAGCTGCGAAAACGGGACGAGAGCGCCATAACTTTTGTGAACTCGCAGTGACTGTTTTCCTGAATTTGCAATGGAAGTTGTTTGGAAACTATAATGGTTTTTTTTTTTTTTTTTGAGCTCGTTACAGTCTTACCTGACGAGCAGTTGCCAGAAACACTAAAAAGCAATGTGTTATATACGTTTGATTTTTAGCACTACATGTAATTTTTCTTTAAAAGAATTTTATCATCTATTCTGTGATTACAGTGTCAAAAATTAAAAAAAAAAACGAAATAATGAATGGTTTAAGTGCTAAAGATGGAATGAGAACCTTAGAGTTTCTGATACAAAGTTCAGTGACTGGAAGAGACAAGTATCATTCTAAAAGAATTTTGCCAGAAAAGTTCCTGTTAAAAATAATTCAAATAGGGGATAAAAGAGGAAAACTGGACAAGCGCAATTTTGAGTCTTAAGAAGCAGTATTTACCACGTGTTTAATGTTTGACTCATTCAGTGATTTAGCCAGTTGCCATATGGAGCCACTGGAAGGCAGTTTTGCATATTTTTAGTGGTCAAAATTAAGCCTTAAAACCGTTTGTTTTCTTAGGTTTCCCGTCACCTGTACAAAACTACCATAGTCTGTGCCCACACATTTATTTTACACTTGGCTGTTTAATTTGTGAGAAATTTATTTTTTGTTGTTTTCTTGATCCATTTTTGTAGTTTTAAATTACATTTTTTTCAGTTAAAAAAAACTTAAATGTAGCGTGATGGACCATTTATAGCTATGATTTACACATCGACTGATTCAGTTTCTAAGACTTCTTCGATTGGCCGCATCATAGAAGTATATAAGGTCCAACGACAGATGGTGTTCAAAAAATTGAGGAACACGACGTTATGCTAAAAATAAGCATATAATTTTGATTGTCAGCAAACTTGAAGTCGGAAATTTTTTTTTGAAATGTGTTTGGCAGGGCGAAAACAAAACATTATTTTTATAGTTTGATCGACGAAAGAGAAAACGCACTTTGTATGATTAAAAGGGCGAATTACATTGAGGAGTTTATGGCATTTTCGTGCGTCTCTCAGCACCTTGCCTTTCGTTTTTCTTGTTGCCTTGGTCATGAGCATCTTGTATAAAACTTGTAAGGATTTCTAAGGGTTCTTTTTTTAGCACTGAAGGTGGCAACTAAGCCTGTCGATATTTTTAGGGACTGATTGTTGTAAACATTTCTTTAATTATCGTTGATAACTTTCTATATTTTGTACTGTTTTTCTAATGAATATTAAGTGTAAGCAGCTTGCATATTTTATAGATGTATGATATAGTATCACACTATATGCCACTATCGTTATTTGTTTTAAGTTAATAGGTCTCGAAATAAAGATCGTAGCGAACAGATTTTTATCTTGGGATGATACTGTTGACCTCAAATTGCAGGTCGAGAGAGATTATGATACTTTCCTTTTGCCCAGTTTTTTGTCGTATTGCTGAATAACGTTTATTATGGCTTTGGACCGAAATATCGTAAAGGTGGGGGGAAGTCATTTTTCCAGCTTCCGAACTTGGATGTTAGGATGAGTTTAAGGACCTTAAATTGTTAAGGTTCTGAAAATCTAATAGGATGACCAACATATGGACAGTCAAAAAAGGTAGAATTGTTTGGAATAGCATTATTGATGGGTTTTTTTAGTTTCTGTAGCGAATGAGAGTCATTTTTCAATGGGAGAACATAGCTACTCTAGATTTTTGCTTTTTCCGATGCTGTGGATGGTGTGTATTGGTTTAATACCGAACAACCCTTGCAACTCAGTTAGAAGCCTTCGATCGGCAAATAAATCAGTAATTTTACCCTTATGTTTGTCGTATATGCCGTTGTGCAAATGCTTGTTTTACTGGACCAGAGTACCTTTCTTATTATTAAATTGAACCAATTAAGGTGAACTTTGTTCTTTTGCCTCTTATCCTACTTATTGTGCGGAGTATAGTTATGGATTGTACCTCTTTGCATGCCACCTCTTACTCTCTAAAATTATCAATGTGTTGAGCTTAAGTTTAGCTTTTAGGCCATTTTGAATTTCATAGAGAAATGGTCCGTTATACTTCAATAGTCTGTTCTTCGTTTTTGGCGAAAAAAATTGTTTGCAAAGCAGTTTTCGCTTTATTTATTAGTGGAGAAGTTGTAGTAGTTCAAACTTTAAGTTTACAGGATTGATGTCTTCTAAAATTTTTAAATTAGCTGAAAGAGATTTTTAAAACTTATTCCTCTTTAGTATACCTTTGCTATCCAACTGGCTGAATAATGCTGCGGACGTTGACGGCAAAACTTAGGAATGCTCATCCTTCGAATGTTCGGAGCTTTCGTGCGGCCTCCTCACAGAGCGATACAATGAAAAGCTCTTCAAGTCGCCATAATATAGTTTTAATTGATGCTGTTCGTACTCCATTTTTGCTTTCCGGAACATCATTCAAAGACATGATGGCAGTCGATTTGCAGAGGAACGCTCTTCTTGGTCAGTTCTTTATTAGAACAGTCTGCTTTCTACTTTATCGGGAACGGTTAACTTTGGTGGGTGTTATCGTTTTTTAAAACCCTGAGGGACTAATTTATACTAATTTCAGACTTGCAGGTTAATTGCAATTTTTTGGCTGATAGATGTAATTTTGGCAAAATTTACCTTTCATCACTGAGATGTTCTGGGGTTTTATTTTGAAATAATTTGCTCAGAGTATAGTGACCCTCTTCTGTTTTTGGATTTTGAAAAATAAACTAATTTAAAATTTTTTTTATTTATTCAAAACTATTTTAGGTTTGATTGAAAAAACCAAAATTCCATTGAAAGAAGTCGAACATATAGCGTGTGGTACAGTCATTCAAGAATGCCGCACCAGCAACGTGGCTCGAGAAGCTGCCTTAACTGCTGGCTTTCCGAATAGTGTCAGTTTTAATTGTCCGACATCGTTTGCTTCTAGCTAACTATGAAAATTTAAAACTATAGTTTGAAGTTTTTTGTAAACTTGTGTCATAATTTTTTCATAATTTTTTTCTTGAATAGTTTACGAGTTACTTCATAATTTTATTGGTTAAATTCCTCTTCATTTGAAAGAGAGGTTCTCAGATATCTCTACCCAAGAAGTATTTAATTTTGTAAGAAGAGGTAAACTGAGTTAGAATCTTTATAATTTTCACCGTTCTGTTTTTTCTGCAAACTTCTATAAACATGAGAGCCTTGTAGTGTGAACTGGTAGATCCTTGATAAGGACATTTTTCTACTTATTTTCTTCTGACCAGTGATTAGCGTTTATTATAACAATACCTCTTTTGGTGGAAGTCAGGAATCTAACTGAAAAACTCTTCACTTTTAGAGGTCTGAGGAGGTTTGTGCAAAATCGCTTGCTTTTTATTTTTTACTACTTAACAGTTTTGTGGTAGTCATTTTTCTGGACTTTCTCTTCCACTGCATGAAAATGCAGCTTGTTTTTTGATGAAATATTGAATTGAGGAATTTTTTGTGTGTTTTTGTTTTTAGATAGGTCAAAAAAGTTTTCTTAGTGCCTGGTTGTAAAAGTGAAGTGGTATGATTTTGAAATTCAACTTATTCACTTTATTCAACGGAGTTGCTCTGTCATCTTTTCACGAAAAAATTATGGTATCTGACCATATTTGTTTGATGTTTGCATATTCTTGAAACGCATTTTTAGATTGCTGTTGGAGTAGCACTAACTCACTTTCTTCTTCTGTAGAAAAGGCATAATAACAAAAAACTTCTCTTTTTGCATTTTGCAAAAAGCGTTAACAAAGACCAGTTCTGAATACGGAAAAGAGAACCAAGAATAGTCAGAAAAAAGTGTAGAATTGGTTTTTTTGCAGTATAGTACGAGCCAACCGTTTCTAATTACCTTGTAAAAGAATCAGCTAGTTAGTATTAGTTTAACATTTTGATATTCTGAGATTAGTTTCTAGGTAAGGAATATTAAATCACCTTAGCAGGTTCGCTTCGCATGTAAATAACTGTTTTATCTTGTTGAGGTGGAGGAAACTGAGAATAGAATATGCATTGTACCCTGCTTTTTGAACCTTTAGTGCTCCTTAATTCTTTTTTTAGTTAAGAGTAATGAGCAGCATTTTTTGCTGGTGTTCGCAGTAGATTTGGTTTACATGCTAATTCTTTTCTTCGGATTCAAGTATGACCTCTAGTTTTGATATATTTCAGATCCCAGCTCATACTGTCACTTTAGCATGCATCTCGTCAAATGTTGCCATGACAAATTTAATAACGATGATGCAGAGTGGCAATATTAAAGTTGGTATTGCTGGAGGTGTGGAGCTCCTATCTGATGTACCAATTCGTTATAACAGGAAGGTGTGTTTTCTACTTTTGCGATGTTCATTGAAGCCGAAAATGAGCAAGTGAATCCGAAGCATCATTCAATGTTTATTTTTTGGAAAAAATTTTGTAACGTATCGTCTAATGAGCTGTTTTGAACTTGGATTTATTTGTTTTCTTTTTCAACCTCTTTTCAACTTTCAGGCACGTTCAGCTATGTTATCAATACAGAAAGCTAAAAAACCGTTAGACAAGGCTAAAGTAGGCTTTGAAATTATCAAAAACTTTTTTGTTCCTGAACTTCCTGCTGTCAGTGAATTTACATCGGGAGAAACTATGGGAAAGAGTGGTGATAGGCTAGCTGCGGCGTTTGGAGTGTCACGGAGGTAGGAATAAGTGATGTATTATTGACGTTTACAGCATAAAATTATGAAAGCAACTACTTGTTGAAGTCTAAGATGCATGTTTGTTGTTTTCTGGTTAGAATTCTATTATTTAAACCAGAACTGAATGTTTTTTACATAATTTTTAAAAGTCACTGTTATTTTAACTGATTTTTCGTTTAAGGGAGCAAGATGAATTCGCGATTCGGTCTCATACTTTAGCTGATAAAGCTACTAAAGAAGGATTGCTTACTGATGTAATTCCAGTTTTTGTGCCTGGAAAAAAGCCGACTATTGTTCGAAAGGACAATGGAATAAGGGTGTCATCCATGGAGAAGATGCAAAAGTTAAAACCCGCATTTGTAAAGCCTCATGGAACGATCACTGCAGGTAATTACTGTAGGCTATAGTGAAATGTCACGATCGATAGTTTCAAAAGAATATTGGTTGATATGCTGTAACAGTTTTTGCAAATTTTGGTGTTTTTTAAGGGAATGCTTCGTTCCTCACTGATGGAGCATCAGCAGCATTGTTGATGACCGAAGATTACGCTTTGAATCATGGTTATAAGCCGAAAGCTTATTTGAAAGATTTTA